TAACTGGGTAGAGAGGCAACTGACTGGATTCTCCCCTTTTAGTACACCTTTCCAGCCCTGCCTTTGGGATCCTCCAACCTCTCCTCCTCTTCTTCTTCTTCTTCCTCTGCGACTTCATCCTGCTGTTTTTGTTTCTCCAACATTCTCAGCTTCTCCTCCAACAAAACTCTTCTCTCCTTCTCCAATCTTTCTTTGTCTTCTTCTTTCTTCTTCGTTTGCTACTCCTCCTCCTCCTCGTTCTTCTTCTCCGCCAGCCTCCTATCAATTTCCGCCTTTTGTTCAGCGATATAAGGCGGGGTGGACGCTCCGGATCGACTCACGACATACATGCCAAGGGTCCAATTGAACACCAAAGGAAAGAGGAAACGGAGCAGTGGGCCCCATATAACTGGCAGGGCCAAGAAGCAGAACATCGGGTAGTTGTTCATGGCGAAGGTCAGCACAAGTAAATTGACTTCGCCTCCTCACCAAGTAGACCTACTCTTCAACACTTAACAGTCCTCAACACTTGCATTAATCCTAACCTAAATCGTTGTCTGACTATCTAATCCCCTCCCCTCACGCCGTCACTACAGCTTACCTACGAGACTGGTGGCCAACCAGCTGTTTAAGGACTGTTAGCACAAGCCTCGGGAATTATTTAACGATGCAAACACGACGTCGTTGGTGGCCACGACGTCTATCAGCGCAAACCTCAGGAATTATTTAACGACGCAAACACGACGTCGTGGCCTCCAACGGAAGGTTTGCTCTCAAGACGTAGACACATTCCTCATTGTGCGCCACAGGGTTAGCGTATAACTACCACCAGATAGGCTGCCAGCCGGTCAATACCAGTACTTGGGGGATCTTTGTGGCCTCCTCCCCTGATGGACGTCGTCTCACCCCTACTTTGCATGTGCGCTAGCCAGCTGCTGAATCTCTATCAGACCTACAACTTTGCTATGAACTTTGTCCTGTCCGCATCCGTCTCATCCGCCCATTCGTCTTTTGAAAACCCAAACTTTTGCATCCATGTTTGGGTGTTAACTGGGTAGAGAGGCAGCTGACTGGAATCTCCCCTTTCAATACACCTTTCCAGCCCTGTCTCTGGAATCCTCCAACCTCTCCTCCTCTTCTTCTTCTTCTTCCTCTACGTCTTCATCCTGCTGCTTTTGTTTCTCCAGCATTCTCAGCTTCTCCTCCAACAAAACTCTTCTCTCCTTCTCCAATCTTTCTGTATCCTCTTCTTTCTTCTTCGTTTGCTACTCCTCCTCTTCCTCGTTCTTCTTCTCCGCCAGCCTCCTATCGATTTCGGCTTTTTGTTCAGCGGTATAAGGCGGGGTGGATGCTCCGGATCGACTCACGACATGCACGCCAAAGGTCCGGTTGAACACCGAAGGAAAGAGGAAACGGAGCAGTGGGCCCCAGATAACTGGCAGGGCCAAGAAGCAGAACATCGGGTAGTCATTCATGGCGAAGGTCGGCACAGGTAAATTGACTTCGCCTCCTCACCAAGTAGACCTACTCTTCAACACTTAACACTCCTCAACACTTGCATTAATCCTAACCTAAATCAGGGTCTGACTATCCAATTCCCTCCCCTCACGCCGTCACTACAACTTACCTACGAGACTGGTGGCCAACCAGCTGTTTAAAGTCTGTCAGCACAAGCCTCAGGAATTATTTAACGACGCAAGCACGACGTCGTTGGTGGCCACGACATCTATCAGCGCAAACCTCAGGAATTATTTAACAACGCAAACACGACATCGTGGCCTCCAACGGAAGGTTTGCTCTCAAGACGTAGACACATTCCTCATTGTGCGCCACATGGTTAGAGTATAACTACCACCAGATGGGCTGCCAGCCGGTCAATACCAGTACTTGGGGGATCTTTGTGGCCTCCTCCCTTGGTGGGCCTCGTCTCACCCCTACTTTGCATGTGCGCTAACCAGCTGCTGAATCTCTATCAGACCTACAACTCCTCACTGCGTCAGCTCCAGTTCGGTCGCATGCCGGTCAGTACCGGCCTTAGGGCTAGACACGTTGTTTTACGAGCGCCCGCCGCTCTTGCCCATGCTCCCTACTGGGGGTGATACATCCAGCTGCCGAGCAGCTAGAACTCCTCACTACATCTTGTCGACTTTCAGTCGCACGCCGGTCAGTACCAATCTCAGGGGTAGACGAGTTTTTTTACGAGTGCCTGCCGCTTATGCATGTGCTTCTTACTTTGCCTAAAGATACATCCAGCTGGCGAGTTCCTACCCTAGACCTAGACTCACATTCATGCAGACTCGACAATTCGGATGCAACCTGACGATGCCAACCGAAACCCTAATTGCAGCAGAGGTCACTAGGAAAGTGTGTGGGAAGGTACCACTCACAACAAAACAAATTGCAAAAGCACAAGGCCCCGCCAAGAAGCACTTCACTAGGTCTTCAATCGCTCCATCGGTGATGCTCCACGATGGCATGAACGCTCCTCAACTCGTGCCCCTCCTCCTTTGGCCCTCAACTCACTGAGACCCCAATTTCCTTTTTTTTTTCTTTTTTTTTTGTCCGCCAGCCTTCTTCTTGCCAGCGCCTCAACTCCGCGCGGATGCAGCGGGAACCAGCTCTGATACCACTGAGATGAGCCAAGTACTTGTCAAGCACCTCGCATACATCAATGAAAATGCACATGAGAGTTCACACGTGAGAAGCCAAACCGAGATACAATCAACACATGAAGATGTCTCCAAAATTATTATCAATATACAAGAAATGCTCGTCTCCAGCAGCTCCGCCGTGCACACACACAGAACTGATCTCAACCAGATGGCGACTATAGCTCCTCGCTCTCCTTCCTACAGTCTTGCTCTTCTCTCTAACTTGGCCCGCTCTGCCTCACTCTCTCTCTCTCAGACCAGATCGTAGCCCTGGATACACCGACTCCGGTAAGCCTAGACATGGCGGCTATAGCCGCCCTACTCCCGTGCTACCTCCAACCTAACTTTGGAGTAACTCACGAGTGATGTCTTCTTCTTCAGGCGCGAAGTGCCCAAGTTGCCTTAATGCACAAGCAACAGCAGTGCTTCGGCATCTCACAATTGAACAAGTGACGAGCCGCGGCACTGTAGCAGCTAATTATAGGACATGACTTTGCTTGGCCTGCTTCAGACCGGTACCGGTCGGTCGCGGCCTGTCTGCAGCAAACATTTTGTCGGTCCAGTCCTGGGACATGCTGGAAAATTGGACTTGGGACTGTTGGACTTTTCTTGTCGGGTACCAGACGGACTTCTACCGACCTAATACGTCTCGGTACCGACACCTACCGACCTCCGATGCTTCAGCCTACCGACCCTACAGCCTATTCTACCGGGACAGCCTGGGACTGGGACACTTCGGGACTCTGGGACCAGAACTGGGGTGTCTGCAGCGTGAATCCTTTCACATCCAATGGTAAGACAAAGTGTGGTGAATGTGGAAACCTCACAAAATACTAGCTTATACGCTATATTGTGGCGAGCTACATCGAACGGCAATAAATAAACCAAAATAGTCGATCCACTCTGTGCCCAAAGAATCCCAATTACAACCCAAATGGCACCACAAATACTACACAAAAGAACCCCAAACCACCAATTTCCCAAATGACATGTTTAAACTTTAAATCTGTGTACATTCTTGAATCTTGATGCCTGTCTGCTTCCTCGGGCTCAAAGCAAGCCCACTCTGTATCCAAGAAATGGTTCTAAGGAGAGAGTTGGGATTGCGTAATCCTGGAGTACAAACTGCCCAATGAATGTATCCTCCCAATTCATCCAGTGCTAAAACTCAAAGGAGGATCTGTCCATGCACTACATGTGAAGCTGATGCTAACATTGATGTTGTCAAGTGGGATAGATGCAGACCTAGAACTGGAATGGACTTACACTCCCTAGACGAGAGCGCCGGCTCAGCCACGAGGCTACAATTCACCCCCCGCCCCAAAAAAAAGGAAAAAGAAAAAGAAAAAAAGGGGAATCATCTCGACTCTCAAGTTGATGATTGCACTGACACAACCTGGAACTAACTCTGACATTGTCAGCAGAACAGGCATTCAAAGTTCAAACCAAAAGTGATATTAGCGTCCTTTGAGACATCCATTACAATTGGAACGACACAAAAAATATTAGCATGACAAGTGTGCAAGAATGACATGCAGAAAATAGAGGGGGGGGAAATGATATTGCCTTTGTCCCTGCCTCTGACGCTGCCACTCAAAGTAGAAGCGGCACTGACCATGAAACTGGCACTCCCACTGCCACTGACATTAACACACAAATTGGAAATGTTGGAAGCACCACTGAAACTGACAAACTGGGAAGTGACGCTACAAAACTAGACCTAGCACTGACACCGGCACTGACGAAATGGGAATATGAAACCAAACCTGGTACTGACACTGGCAGTCTAGAAGCAACACCACGTGGATGCTGAAATGACACAGACAAACCGGAAGTAATGATCACACAGACTATGCAACGTACACTGATTTCCAAAGCGGAAGTAGCACAAACTTCGAAACTCGAACCAGTTCAAATGGGCGGCGGCTGACTGCCGTGTTTCGAAAAAGGCAAAATGGTGCATCTCGCAGCCACTGTCAGATTGAGAAAAACGAATGAGTGGAAAAAGCACTCCGAGGCAACCGTCGGGCTGGGATTTTATATACATAGTGACCTCAAAGACTTTTCTAGAAGAATTCGAAGCACTTGCTCGAGGAATTTGTCCGCGGGTCATGAAAACTTGTCCCTGGTCAATCTTGCTAGAATAGAGGCTCCCATCTCCCAAGACAAAAAATAAAAACTCTTTTTCAAGTTTTTCTAGTACAAAACATAATTACTCGAGTATGGTGGCAGAGATGCAGCATGTCATGAGGCTTACAGCACGGCACTTGATCTCCACCTCTATAAACTCTGACACATTGACATACTGTCAGATACAGACAATATGCTGGAAAGCACAATGAAACTGACACCTGCCACCCATCACTAATCAACAGGTTTGTTCGTTTGTTTGTTTCCAAATAAAACAGGTGCTTATGTCCCTGGCTCCAGCAGTTATACCTTGCAGTGTCCCTGTTTGTATCTGACACACAATAAAACTGATGTGATACTGAACTGATGCTGACACTCCTACAACTCGCAACATATCATCTAGCTATTGGATTGCGTATCCGAACCCGGTGATGGCAGGTCGTTGGGATCCATGGATTTCAACTTGTCCTCATATTTATGTGCCACTTGGAATATATCCTCCGGCTTTGGTGGCCATGTCTACAGGTTCTTTCCGCCAGCACCTACCTCTCTGCTATGGCCACTAGCTCTGTTTCATGCTATAACCGATGGCCGCATTTGACAGCTTGTCATCACCTGAAGATGGTGGCGAGCTTTCCGGACGCCCACAGCCGTGCATATGATAGCCAGCACAGCCACAACAGTACCAATAGATTCACGTTAGAACTTATAACAGAGATGATCCTTTGAACCATGAATGAGTTCTTGCAGCTTCTTGTGCGAGTATGGATTGTAAGAGCTACATCAACACCAGAAATGTTTTGCTCATTGCAACATGACAGATCAATGCCCTATTTGAGTGGCCGATAAAGAACTTTGCACCATGTCGCTACAGGCGATGTCAGTCAACTCGACGCAAAAGCTGTCTACCCTTTTTTTTTTGGTCCGTTCCTTTTCCCTAGGCTACCAGAGTGGCCCGGGGTCACTTGCCCGGCCGGGCCAAAAAAAAAAAAAAAAATAATAAAAAAATAAATAAAAAAATAAATTCAATTTTGGTGAAGAATTTCGATGTGACCCTGAGGCAAAAGGTGTTCAGTAAATTTTTCTGCATAACATTGTTTTTTTTCGGATTTTTTGGATGTTCTTTTTTTTTTTTTTTGCTGGGACATCCTTGAACGGGCTGGCGACCCGGGACCCGGGCGGCCCGGCTGGTAGCCTAGCCTTTTCCTTTTTTTTTTGACAGCCCCCAGTCCTGCTAGAGGTACTGGTAGGAGCCGACACCTCTAGCATCCCTGTGGCTGGCTCCTGTCTATTGGTGGGGAGCATCACCTGCTGGAAATCGGGTCCAGCGTCCCTTACAGAAAAAACATTCGCTGCGAACACATGAAAAGATAGAAGGGCTTCTGCCTCTTCAGCCTATCCCTGGCCACCTGATTTGTCATGACACGCTAGCAGACCCCTTACCCTTCCTACCCTTTGCAGCTCCACCAGAGCATTCTCTGTGGGCAGGAACAAGTCCAGAGACTGGGACCCTCAAGGGGACCCGAGGGTCTATTTGAAGCCCGTTACGAAAGTTTAGTGCTTGCGAAGAAAAGTCTCCCCCGCTCCTTCCCCGGGCCAATCCACCTGGGGGCCATCCATCCCCCCCTTTTCCCCCCAGCCAGTCATTGCCGAATTTGTGAAATTCCTTCAGAATATCTTTCTTTTGTGAGAAAAATTACAGCTTGTCCTGAGTGTGCTTTCGTTGAGCTTGTGGTTCCGTCTGTACAAATTCTCGGACTGTTTCTGAGAATTCCCCACCCTCTACTCGAGCCCCTTCCATTTCATACACACACACCTTCCACCACAGCCCCATAGCACTGCTTTCCTTCCTAATGTTGTGCCCTCCACTGCCAGGGCGAGTCACACCCTGTTCCCATCTGCCGTCAAACCCTCTCCCACCAGCACCACGCTAGGACTGCTCGAGGGCATTGCAGGAACTCGTACTCTACAACAGCTTTTGCACCAGGGGAGAGTGAGTCCCTTCTGTTCCAGGTGCGGGTGGTCCACCAGCCAGTCGTTTATAGGGAGACAGCGAGGCAAACTTGGCCGTCCGCTCCCTTACACCTCTAGAGTCTAAACCAACTAACCTGTCGAGGGGAGTCGCTGTGGAGGCTGAGGCGCCTTGCCCACCATCTTTTACTGCTGCTCATAGGTTCACACGTGGTCGGAGCATCCGGTAGACGGTGTTGACCAGCAGTGACTGCAGGTGGCGGACCTGTCTTTTTCCTCTCCTCCACATCCACACGAGCAGGTCCAGCGGAAGTTCAGACACAAGCAGGTGTGGCCTGTAGACTGTCCATAATTCCCCTGGCTGGGTGCGCAACACCAGCAATTGGTAAAGGGCTCCCTGTTCAAGTCACTTCACCCTGTCTGGTTGGTCGAAAATGTTAATGCTTTTTCTTTTGAACAAATTCACCCAGGCCCCCTCCGGGGAACGCCCCTCAGACCGGAGCCCTACCCAGTCAGCTTCACGCCGGTGAGGGCCCCTTTTTTAATGTTACCACCCAGCCCAAGGGTATTGCAAAGAAGAGATGTCCAAGGTTTTCTATAATCTGGTATGCATAGCGTAAAACCTCTTGCAGCTGCCCTTCCGTTTTCCAATCTTTGGCTGTCGGGTCCCAAATGTCAGCGACCCTGAGCACTCCTTGCTTGACCAAGGTTGTCCATGGAGAATCGGAGCTCTTAAACCACCAGTACTTGGCCCAGCTATCAAGTCCGCGCCTCCAGCGACCGGTATGTCGAGCCTGCCAAGCCTGGCAGTACCAGTAGCTGGACGGGCCGAGGCAGGGGGGACCAGTTGGAAAACAAAAACAGCAAAAAAACAAACAAACAACAACGCTGTGGATGTGAATGGAGTTGGATGCATTCTCCTGAGTGCTAATGTGAGCACGTCGCAGTTTGGGTGTATCAGCCCCGTGGCATTTCCGTCACAATCCAAAAGTAAAATAAGGAAAAAAAAAACACAAAGAAATGAATCTGGCGGATTCTGGCCCTGAAATTAGTTAGATACATTTGTCTGTGTGCAAGTGTGAGTATGCCCTGAACGAGGGCTGTTCAGTAGATCACGGAATATGCCCTGCCTCGCTGGCAGGGGAATCTAAGAAAAATGTTAAAAAAACAAACGCAGAAAAAATAGACAGTCCGGTGTCTGGTCCTGATGTCCGGATGGAGGCCCCTGGGGAGAAAATCAAAAAAAAAAAAAAGGGGGCGGCCCAGGACGTTTATCGGGTCCTGGCCGCCCCTTGAAAAATAACGGGGTGATTTTTCAATGCCATTTCACCCCACCGGACAGGGCCTAGAGGTCCGGACACAAGACACTGCAGGTTTCTGGGGTGGCGGGTTTCGCACAGGCCCAAGCAATTTCAAGGCGCCCGCCGCTGCTGCCCGTTGGGGAGAGAGAGAGAGAGAGAGAGAGAGAGAG